GTAAAAAAATTGTATTGCTTTTAAATTATACTCAAAGATGGAATATTTATTGTATATATTCTCTTAATTAAATATTTTCTCTGTTGATTAAAAAAAGCCTTGCCAAATTTTATTTAGTAATTTATTGCATTGGATCGTAATTAGGTGCATGAAAGACATTTTGGTGCTGCTGATTTATCCAGAATTTACTTTGCGCTCGAGAGAGATTAGTTGTGAACTTCAGGCAGACGACGCCGGAATATCAAATTTTATATTAATAAAATATATTGTATCAACAATAAAAATTTATAAATAATATTTTTTGTTTTATTAATAAAAAGTGTATTTTAAGAGAAAAAGCTAGCACCTAATAATTAGTATATGGTGTTTTTTAATAGTTGAAATTTCTCTAGCTCAGTGACCCATGGAATGTGATGTCGTGGAGTCTTGAATTTTGCCTCTAGCATTGATTTATCTATTAACTTATTATGACACAACGCATTTACTCACACTCTCTTCGTCGATCCCTTGCGAAATAGGTTTGTTTTTCATTATTATTGTTATTCGTTGAATTGTTTTCGAGCAGCAGTGACGCTGACAGGGGAAAGTATGGGGACATTGACAAATGTAACGTCACATAAAAAGAAAGAAAAGAAGAAAGAGAGGTAACCTTTCTTGGTAGCAGAAAAACAACAGAGAATAAGGGGAAGGAAAAGAAAGACAAAATGCGGATAAGATTCATATCTTGTTTCTCACAAAGAGAGAAGCCACTCACAGTAGCAGCCAGCAGGAGCAAACCATACCACTTAACACGCTTCTCCACCATTGATTTACAATCCATATTAGTTTTGTACTCCTTTTTTTTATTCTTATTATATACGTTTAACGTAAGACATGATATCTACCCTGGGGCATTACGTTTGTCCTATCATTATAAATTATTTTTTTCATCGCTACAGTGAAAAAAAACGCAACGTTTTCTCATTTAATTGATAAATAACAACAAATGAATAATATATTATACGTATAATTGATGAGGATTTAAATGCCAACTTTAACAATTTAGCTTTCTTAAACAGTGACTTGCTTGGGTTATCAAGTCTAATTCAGGGTACAGATACTTTTATTATACAACAATTAATTTAACTTCGGGGCTAGGTCGGTTACCGAGTCTATGCACAGATAGGTAAACTTGCCAATTAATAGCGTAAGAAAAAAATTAAGGCTTATTTTGTTTTTAGTCTTTTTAATTTATTTAAAATAAAATTATTCTATTTTAAGTTAATTAAGAATTTTTTAAATCTGAATTTAATTTTTTGCTCACTTGCTTTTACATCACAAATTTATATTAATGTTTCTCATTCAAATATTTGAGATTCATCATTGAATTACCATTGGTATATAAAATAATTTACAAATTTTAGAATTCAATATTTTAGAAAAAAACGATAAGATTTAAATGTTTTAATAAGATGTGAAGATTAGAAGATTTGAATATTTTATTTCTACAAATTTTAATTGTTAAAATTTAAATAAAAATAATTTAATGGATCCGGAATATAAAAAAAATTGAGTATAAAGTAAGAGTTTGAAGATCTTATATATACAAAATTATAATAAAAATCATATCTTTAATATAATTTAAAAATAAATAAATAAAAAAAATCATATAAAAATAGGAGATAACATTAGATTTAACCGTGTTTTTAAATATCTTTGTCTGGATATACATTTAGGACAGAAAGAGCAGCATGCCATGCCATGTCTAGGTACTGGAAAGGCCAATTTGAAAACCTAGGGATGTAAAGAATCAAATCAAAATTATTTTAAAACTACCAAATTGTTTAAAAAAATTTATTGCAATTCAATTCAAATTTTAATATTAAAACTGAACCAAACTAAATGAAACTACGTTTATAGTATAATAAATATAATTAAAAAACAAAAAATTATTATTTATTATAGACTTATTTAACTCAAATATAATTATTTTTAATCGGAAAAGTCTGTGACTTAAAAAGAATACATCTATAATATATTTATATTTTTTATTGTATCTTTATAAAAAAATTCTGTAATTCTACCGGCAGGGTATTACTTTTATTTATTTTAAAATTTATCCTATTTTCTTAATTAAATATTTTTCCGTTCTTTTATTAACAAAATAATTATTTTTCACAGTTTTGGTTTTCTGATTCATGTCTCTCATCTTGATTCTTTATTTTGCTAAAAAAAAAAATACTTTTGACATTAGTGGATGATCTTTTTATTTTAAATTGAAAATCAAAACAAGATATATAAAATAAATATATTTCTAGAAAATATGTTCATAAATTATATAAAAAAAGAAAATATAACCTAAATTAAATTGAAGAGACTAGTTTGTTTTTAACATTATATTGAAATTAAAACAAAATAAATTATATATAGTGTGATATTGAGTTAAAATTATATTTATATAAAATGGCAACAACGGAACGGCGTTGAAAAGATCACGTGGGAGTATGGCGTACGAACAGTGCAGCTACAGTATGGGATCATAGTTGTAAGAGATGAATTGATATAATCTTATCATCATATTCATCTATAGACTTTAGACTTTTGCGGGTGGTCATGTAACTCCTGATAGTAATACAAATTTTCCACATTCAATACGTTACTATTGCTGAAATAAGACCACACTGTTTCACAAAAGTCCCATTGATATTGTTCCCCAAAAGCCACGTTTTAATGTCAGAATGGTTAACACCATAATATATATCAGTTTTTTTAAATCTGCATAATATGATGTATAATTTTTGAATATGTAATGTATTTCACATCATAAAATATCATATATAATAAAAGATTAATATTTAATGTATTATTATAATAATAATGTTTCTTCACAAAAATTGTCTCTAAATCCGTATCAGACAATACTTATTCTAAAAACACTTTTGTAACATTAATAACAAAATTAGTGAAAAAAATATTGTAGAGAGATTTTTGTTTAGCTTTAAATCTCCTCTCAAAACATTTAAAAAATTTGAAACTCCTTAAATATGCTGCTAGTAGAAATTTTTTTAAATTTTCTCTTTAATTTTTTTATTTTTTCATGAAATTTCTGTATATTACATACTTGTACTGTTTCACCATATAATTAATATCTTTAATGATTTAACCACATATTAAAAAGTTTCTTTAACTGGCACATCAGATTCTACGGAATCGTTTATTTTAAAATTTATAGAATTAATTTAAATTTATTAAACATAACTGATGTTTGAATTTAATTTAATTTCAGGTATAAATTTTATGTTAAAACATTTATCATTGCAACAGTTTATTATGAATAATTACTAAATGCACAATTTCTCTTGCTTGTTTCATGAAAAAATAAATAAAAAATATTTTTTAAAAAATAAGATAAAAAAATAAAGTTAATTTTATTTATTTTTTAATCATATTTATCGGATGTGTTCTAAAGAATTGTTATATTTTCTAAATCACACCTAACCTTCGTTAGAAAGCAATATCTAACTGAAACATAGTTATTTATTGTTTAATAGTTTTAGCATTAAAAAATTATTTGTACACATCATTAAAATATACAGGAATCAAATAGGAAAATAATATTTCTAATAAATAATATGACATTTCAAGAAAAGAACGACAATAAAGATAAAAAATAAAATAAAAATGTCAAATTGTGCTTCTAAGTCAATTTGGTTCTTAAAAAATAGTTATTGTATGTTTCTGTTTTTCAACCGCGCATCTCTTACATAAAGGCGACAAAATTTAGGGTAAATTTTTGTAGAAATTGAGATGGTCCTAGAAAAATAAAAGAAAATAAATAGCTAATAAAACACTGTAATTGATTTTTTTTTTAATCAAATATAAATAATATTATTAATCATATATTTTATTTTTCTATTGTTCAGTCAAAACAAACTATAAATAATTCAAATATTTGTTCAATTTTTTTTTATCTTGAAAATTTCACGCTAATCAGCTTGCTTGGTTTCCCATTTTCCACCATAAAATAATATTAAATATGGCTCGGGATGAAAATTGGTATGCCAGCACATGTTTTTTTACAACATATTTTATAAAAGAAAACATATTCAACATTATTTGGGATATAAATATCTCATAATAAAACAAAAGAAAAAGTGATAACTTGACGTAATATGAAAAATAAAAATGTATATCATCAAAATTAAATAAAAAACAATTAATTTCACATTTCTATTCTTTTATCAGATATCTCTTGCAGGTAGATGACAAAATTAGAATAATTTTATTTAAGAAATTAGATGTTAGAATAAAAAAAAATTAAAGGACAAGCTAGTAAAACAAACAAGTATAACTGAACCTGAATCGTAACTTTGACCTCGAAAAAACAAGTTTGGTCTTAAACGGGTGCAGAGGATTCGGTACCCAAAATTTGCCCACTTCAATGCCACTGGCCGCTGAAACACGTTCCGGAGGGGCACGCACGAGAACACGGAAGTGGACCTCACGCGCACGCGGGAATCGCGTACGTTGTTTTAAACCTGGGGTGAAGTTGAATTTGAGAAATAACTGAAGTTAGTTGTTTTTACTTGCAACAAATTTAACCGCTTTCGAAACAAACTCAAGCATATTTAGAGAGGGAGAGGATGGGTCACTTTTACTGTCTCCCTCACCTTCCTTTTTCCTTTTATTAAAAAAAGAAAAGAAAATATACATACTGAACCGAGAGAGAGAAAAAGGGCAAAAGAACTGTTGAAAATCAAAAGCGTGCAGACAAGGGAGAAGCATATAATATGGCAGTACAAAAGAAGAGGCAATTTCACATTCACAGCATCAAGTTACGCACGACGACGGTGCTGATCTGGGTCAACTACGTTTGACCAACATAAACGACAACATTAGGGCTGTTTCAGTAATTAAGTACTCGCTGCCCCACCTTAACGTTTCTCGTGTCCCGTTAAAATTATACATTATTCAAAGAGCAATTTAAAAACCTTCGGCTGTGTCGCTGCTCTCGTTGGTTTGTGAGATTCATTGCCCTCTTATATATAACTCGTTACCTTCGCTGTTCCCTTCTCTCTTTATCTCTCAAGGGAGAGACAGAGAAAAAAGAAAGAGAGATTAGGATTGGGGATATGAGAACAAGGAGAGGGGCGTCTTATTCTGGACCTGGATTAGTAACAAGGATGTGTTCAGATGTTAAACAGGATCTGCACATGCATATGCATATGCATGTGCCTCGAGACTCTATTTATAGCCGGAAACGGCAGAAGAAAACACCGCAGAAAACCCCCGCCGATTACGATTTTTTTGAGTCTTTGCCGGATGACCTTGTAATTTCTATCTTCTGTAAACTCAGTTCCACCGCCACTTCCCCTTCTGATTTTGTCAACGTTTTAATAACGTATGTGACCTAACGCCTGCTTTTGTTCTTACATTTTTTTTTTCTGTCTGTTATGTAACGGTAAAAAAATCGTGGTTTTGATTATATTTGAATGATTGTGTTGAACAGGTGCAAAAGATTAAACAGATTAGCGCTTCATCCTCTTGTGTTATCCAAAGCCTCGCCGAGAATTTTCTCTGTTAAAGCCAAAGATTGGTGCGATTCTGCACATCGCTTCCTCAAACATTGTGCCGATGCAGGGAACGTTGAGGCCTGCTACACTTTGGGCATGGTTAGTACTAAAATATTAATTAACAACTTGTATTTGAAATTTACACATTTAAATTAATTTTAAAGGACAAATCTAAATGGTTTTCGTTGTGCAGATTCGCTTCTACTGTTTGCAGAACAGAGGAAGCGGCGCGTCACTGATGGCCAAGGCGGCGATTAATTCTCACGCGAGGGCTCTGTACTCACTTGCGGTGATTCAGTTCAACGGCAGCGGCGGAACCAAGAGCGATAAGGATTTACGCGCTGGCGTGGCTCTTTGTGCCAGAGCGGCATTCCTCGGCCACGTCGACGCGTTGCGAGAGCTCGGTCACTGCTTGCAAGACGGTTATGGCGTCCGGCAGAACATCGCCGAGGGACGGCGATTTCTCGTCCAGGCTAACGCTAGGGAACTCGCTGCTGTGCTTTCCATCGGCGCCGCTGCGCGACACTGGCTGACGTGGAACCTGCAGCCGCAGCTCCGGCAAGGGTCCGGGTGTCCGTTGCTGAGCGATTTCGGGTGCAACGTGCCGGCGCCGGAGGTTCATCCGTCGAGCCGGTTCATGGCGGAGTGGTTCGCGATTCGTGGCGGTTCGCCCGGACCGGGTTTGAGGCTTTGCTCGCATGCGGGTTGTGGTCGGCCAGAGACGCGGAAGCACGAGTTCCGAAGGTGCTCGGTGTGTGGCGCGGTGAATTATTGCTCACGCGCTTGCCAGGCGCTTGATTGGAAGTTGCGTCACAAGGCGGAGTGCGCCCCCGTGGAACGGTGGCTCGATGAAGAAGGTGAGGATGTCGGGGACGACGACGGTGACGGCGAGGGGGTGGTTATGGTGGATAGTTAGACAATTTTTCCCACGGTAACGGCGTTAACGGAAGTCTCTTTGGACGGTTCTACGGACAATGAATTTATTTTTGTTGAGAAATTATAAATGATTTATTCGGCCGTCTCAAAAAGGTAGGGAGTAGAGTATATGGCTTCCTTTTTTTCTTGTATAGTGCTAAAATTATCCCGAAAAAATGAAAGGGGATTCATTTCCTTTTTTGTTTTCATTCTGTGCAGTGGTCACAGTTTAATGTTAATTAGAAATTAAATGCTGGAAGTTTGAAATTTTGGTCATCAATTTGACAGTAATTAATAGCAATTAAGTTTTAGGGTTATATAAAACTTCACATTTGTGCTAATTTATGTTTTTCTTTTCCCTATTTGGTCTTTTCTAGATAAACTTGTAATCTTATCTGCAATTTAATTTAGTGTTTACATAATTTGTTTGAGATTTCTTTTGGTCTGAATGAGAAATAAGAGTTTCTTGAAGCATCAGAAAAAAGGAAGTGTAGCCGCAGAACCCTAATCCGCGTAGTATGTTTGAGAGTTAAGTTGTTTATAGTTGCGATGAATTTCACAATTTGATTGAAATTAGGGATCTGGTGAGCTGTTATGTGTCTCTCTCTTGATTTAATGCGATGCGGCGCCATCGCATATGCTTGTGAGAAACAGAGAAAAAAGGTCTAACTAAAAGTGCTTTTTTTAAGGGTATTCAAGTATATTTAATCTTTTTATAAAAGTTTAATATTTAATGTTATTAATATTTAAATTTAGTAATATTGTATATTATTGAATATTACAATAAAAAAGTTCGATTAAAAAATCAGGAATCTTACAATTTTACCTCTCTTCACGTGTATCGGATGATCACGGAAGATACTCTGATGCAACAATTTGTTAGTTGCCGTAAATAAGAAAATTATTGTAAGTCAAAAAAGCGGTGGTAACAAAAGATTCAAACAGGTCTATAATTACTTGATGATACTAATTATTCGGAAAATAATAAATTTGTTTTTATTTCATTCTATGAATGAGAGCAATAGCAATCAGATTGTAAGAAGGGCTTAAGTGAGGTTAATAATAATTATTGGCTGTTTGCTCTGAGCACAAGACCAATGTTCGTCCAGAAACTTGCTCGACCTGTTTCCAACATGTTTCTAGTAACTGTTTGATCTATTTACAGTTTGCTTCTAATAAGGCTTTTGTTTTTTTTTTTTTTTTTTTGTCAAAACTTCTAATAAATTTTGAGTCCCCTGTTATGTACTAAAAAGTTCTTCAACTGTAGTTATGTAAAGAAAACTCCTTAAACTAATCAAAACACACATATCAGTGTGCGTAGATAGCGGTGTATCTTGACTCCATCATAGCATGTGTAGGCAATCTCTAACGAATCAATTCCTGTGACTGGATCAATTTATGAAGTTGTATCGGTAAGTTTAAAAGCACTATGAAATTTTGTGTACAATATCATATTTTTTTCTATTTATTTCAAATTTACATAACTTACTTTATAATTTTATAATGTATCTAAAAATATAAAATAAAAACTTAGCATATAATATATTTTCATTAAAAGCTATAGTATTTAAACTATTAATACAGTAAATCTTGCAATTTTTAATAAAAATATATTAAATATACTTTGTTATTGTTTCCGGAATCATCAGATATATATTAGAAAAATAATTTATTTTAATTCACAAAGTGATAAATTAAAATAATGATAAGGCTCAATGTACCACGTTATAGCTCACCAAGTTGTGCATTAAAAATATGTAAATGACACAATACCATTGTCTACACAACTGAATGCTCCTCCAGAACCTACTCTCATTTGGATTCGATTTTGTATATATTATAAATGTCAAATGTGGGGAACAGTATTATATATTGGGTTTTGGAAGAAAATGAAAGGATGGTAGGACTGCACTTAATTTTTCTGCAATGATCATTATTTATTTTGGTCAGTATTATTTTTTTTCAGTTATGCTTAATCTCTCACATAATTGAATGAAAAGTCCAAGCGCAACCCAATAATTAGGCCCAAGATCCGAATTCTAGTTGTCAAATTATAAAGAATGCCACCATGACTAAAAAATAGAGAACAAAGTCACCAAAGGAAATTATTAAAAAAAAGTAAAATAAAAAATCTTTAACTTAAAATAATCTATTACTTTACTCAGAGAAAATAGAGGTACAAAGAAGAAAGAATTAAGAGAGGCATGCTTCTTGAATTCCCAGTGATCGAATTTGACATTTCCTTTATCTAGCTTGGCCGTGAGCAAAGGAGGAACAAATAAGTAAAATTAAATTTTGCATGTATTTGAGTAAAAAATTAAAATAAATGTCTATGTAATAAATTTTAAATTTTGTTAACCTTAATCTTAAACAACTAATAATCGTAAAAATTTATTAAAAATTAAATTATTTATTATATTTTCATAACTTCAATATAATAAATATATTTTTTTATAAATTTTTTTATTTATGAACGTTTAAAAACAGTTTTAAGGATTGAGGTTAAAAAAATTTATAAATTTTTATCATATAGCATACAATTAAACTAATTTTAAAATTTATAAATAATAAAGTGTTGATAAGTTATTTTAAACATCCACTTAATCATTAAAACTCACTCGTGAAAGAACTCTAGCACTGAAATGAAAAGATAGAATGAATGAACGTATACGTTGGTTACGATAGAATTCGTGCATTAGAAAACAAATTTGCTTAATCGGAGGAGACAAGGTTACTAGTTACGTGCTAACTACCACTATTTTGTCCAAATATTTGGAAGCTTCCACGACAGGGGGGATTCTGATGCTTTTGAATTGAGAATGAGTGTTATTAGAGCATCTTCACTCTTTTTTCTCCTTACTTTCATGTTTCGCATTAACATATGCAGCCATTGCCATGTCGGTTGTCACCATCTTCTGTCTTCTTCTGTTTAGAAATATTTGATGTCAGAATTTGAGGCAATTTATTCTTTTCTTTATATAATAATTGGAGGCAAATTTTAATCATATTGGATTTTTTTTTATTTCTTTCTTCTGACTTCATATTTAAATTTGAAGAGTTCATAATTTTTATAAATAATTTCTAACTTGTTTTAATAAACTTCTTCGTATAATTTATCAAAATGTACATATTTTTTTTTATCTATATACTAAACTATTTAATAAGAAATAAATCACTATTTTCGTCAACATTATTTTTAGAGCGTGTTAACTCTTAAGTTAAATAAAATGTCATGTTAATATTTAATATATAGTTCTTGCTGTTGTTCAATTATTAGGTACCTTGATAGAGGGATAGATGTGACACGAGTAATAGAATAATGTGGTTTAAAATCAGCAAATATTTTTAGAACTCTTCAATTAAGTCTCTAAAAAGCCAAAATAGCTATAATTTGACAAGTACTCTAACTTTTTTTTTCATAAAAAGTTATCTAATTTCAATAATATATTACTATTTTGTTTATATCAGCTAAACTAAAGAAGTTTGTTTTTAAACATTTATTTAATACTAAATAAATATAAATTTACATTAAAATCACAATAAAGATTCAACTTTAAATACTTATTACATCTAAATTATAAATAATAGTAAAATAATCCTGTAAAATCTTATAAAATATTAACAAATGCTAATACACATCCTAATAAGATGTAGTTGAGATAATTAAATAACGAAGAAAACAAATTAGTAGCGTGGTTTCACAATTTTTTACTCATATTAAAGTATGAGTTGTATGATAAATTATAAAGAAATTGCGTATGTGTATAGAAATTCTTTGATTGTTAAAATAAAATCTCTTTTGATTAGATTAAAATATTCTTTAAAATGCGATTTATTTTAATAAAATATTTTATATTTTCAAAAAAAAATTTGTCGACACATTCTAAAGGCTTCGCCACTTTTTTGGTCAAAGTGGGCTTGGCAAAAATATGACTTGTTGGGCATGACTCGATTATTAACATAAGCCGAACCCAATGCAATTACTGGACGACCAAAAAAGATGAACCAGTTGCTACTTGCTGGAGGGCCTTAACTTTTCGTTCCAATAACGAGGAAAATGAATTTAAGGATTAATAAGTAAAAAGAAAAAACTTGATAGAGTAGTTGAAAACGCAGCAAGGGAACGAAGGTAGAGTCTCATTCGAGGTGGTGGTGATTAGAACAGGTAATATAACAAACGCTCTCTTTTCAGATTCAATTTCACATTGCGTTCTGAAACGGTTCCGGATTTCTGGTATGATCACGTTTTCGTTTTCATAATTGAAGCGCGTCCTCTATCACTGTTGTTAGATTTCGTAATTTAGGGTTACATATTTGATTTGCATAATTGAGGGGGAGAAGAGAAGATGGGTTTCATAATGGAATTCGCGGAGAACTTGATTTTGAGGCTGATGGAAGACCCAAAGGAAAGGGATCGAAGGTTCAGGGAGCACGTTTATAGAGTGAAGGATAGGTGCGCGAAGACGAAGGAGATGTGGAGTTACCCTATGCGACCCTATGGGTTCTGGACTTTTGAGCGCCACAATTCTCAGCTCGCTTGGGATGCTCAGATTAGCCAAGTTACTGGTCGGAGAGACCCTTATGATGACATTCTCCAACACTACTCTACCCCACCTAAGTGAGGTATTCTTTTGAAATTGTATTTTATTCTTCTCAAATGTGTGTTCCAAAGTGGATTTTTTCATGTGATTGCTGATTTCGTACTTTGTTAAGGTGAGGTGGTATTCAGTTTCATTTGGTGTGTTAGTTCCTTCAACTTCGAGGGTTATGTTTTCCTTTGCCTTATACGTTGTGTTTGTATTCAATTAGAGATCAAATGATTTTATTTTCACCCTTTTGGTTGGGATTCTGGAGTTTGTTTGGGTGGGAGTTGATGGTGAAACTTGCACCTGTCACTGCAATGGCCCAATTGGTAATCTTGGTTTTTTATGACTAAAACAAAATGACACTGAACTGCTAAGGGTTGCGTGGCTGGAAAAATTATGAGAATTTGGAAAAAAAAAAAAAAAAAAAGCACACATGACGGGGTTTTACAAATCCTTAGGGCTGCATAAGTGGGGAAAGAAGTATATATAGGCTTCAGGCTTGCTAAAGGTAGAGAAAGAAAGACTTGAGACTTGAGCCTAGTGAAATGTATTGAGATGAAGAGGTAAAGTCTTAAACCCAAAACAAGATATTAAGGAAAGGTGGAAGAGTCAGTTTCAAAAGCTTTTTAATGAAGGACAAGGGATTTAATTGCACTCTGTTAGGCTAATCAGTAGATAGAAGTGTTAGAATGTATCTCCAATTTAGCAAAAAAATCTCGTATTTAGGGGTTATCTATTATTTGTATAATTAGGATTTGATTTGTATTGATTCTTATTTTACTACCTTTTTATTTTCCTAGTTTCCTAATATTAGATATTGTAGTTTTCTTAGTTTCCTAGTTTTCTTATTGTAGTTTCTTGATGTTAGAAATTGCAAACCATCTACATATAATCAATCATGCTGAGAATTTCCTCAAGCAATTCATAATTCCTGCTCTATTTTTCTTCTTTCTTCTCTTAAAATTCCTTCTCCTCCTTCACCATTTTCAGTGGGAGACAACATCCTTTCCTGCGACTTTGAGTGGAGGGGGCTGTTTTCCAGCATTTATTTTATGTTTTTCTTCTTCAACAGTGCTTTGCTTCTCATTCTTTTCGTGTCTAATTTCTGTTTTTCTTTTGGGTCGAAATAAAAAATAATTTAAATGGGTTTAGAAGAATGATCGTGCCTCTTTACATTTTTGTACCTCCTTTTCTCTCAACTATCTTACAAGTTGTTCTCCTCTCACTGTCCTCTTTTGTCTTTTTTATTATATTTTTTCTATGTTTTATTACTTTCGTTTGGTTTTTGGCCATTTTGATCTTTTTTAATTTTGTATACATTCTCTCCTTGTTTGGTTCTAGTTTTATTTGCTCTTATATGTTTTGTTATTTTAAGGCATTGAGTTAAAGGCTTAAACTTAAATTTTTTTATTTTTTATTTTTGCTATATACTTTATATTTGGCTAAATTAAAAATGTCATGAATTTAGTATTTGTTTTCTACTTTTTTTTACACTTAATGTATATAGTATAAGTTTTGTAGCTTATATAAAAAATTTCAAAATAGTGGCCATCTTGCAATTTGCTATCCTGCTATAGTATTTTTGGGTTAGCCACCACGCGCAGCCGCAGCTATCGAAGATTGATAATTATGATTTCAAAACCTTGAGACGAGTTTCTTCTTTACGAACACATCCACTGGCTAGTGCTATGGTGCATGCTTTTGTAGATTATATAAATACTTGTTGGAGAATTGCGAGAAGAAACAACTGGGAAGGAAGAGATGTGGAGACAATCTTTGGAAATACATGGCTTTTGTATTAGTAGAAGTTAAATGGAGTATATGAACTATAAATTTAGTAGAAAACAATTCTATCTTACAGGTTGAAATGGAAGACCATATCATGCCATAAGTTACATGGTTTAAGTATCTTGGGCTCATCATGCAAAATGACGAGGAAACAGAGACAACTGTAAATCATAGAATTCAAACAGGTTGAGTGAAATGCAGGCGTGCTTTAGACATTATTTGTGATCATTCATACTGAAGTTTAAGGGAAATCTTTACCATGACTATAAAGAATCATGATTTTGAATTACATTGACTGTCAGGCAGGAAAGAGTAAACAAGAAAAATAAGGTCAGTGCTGCAGAAATGAAAATCTTATTGTATAGGCCCGTGAAACAATATAGAATTAGGAATGATTGCATTAGATAGTTGGTACAAGCCGGACAACACTTATTGTGAAAAGGATGGTAGATTAGATTAGGTTATAAAGGTAGTGCCATCAAAAGAGGCTTAGATTTAGAGGTAGATTAAGAAAACTTATAGTTCAAGCCATTAAGAAAGATTAGATTTAAATGGTTTGCATTAGATGAGATTTACAATAGAATCCTATGGCATTTGTTTTATGGATCTGACCTCATCTGGTGGGAAATGACTTCTGTTGTTCTTCTTCCCTTAATTTAGTTTCTTTTTAATAATCTCTTTCATTTAAATCTTTTGATAGTTCAATGAGATTTGTTTTTATGAGAAGTGCAGTACCTGCCATTGTCCTGTGTACTCATTTTGTTTTCTCTTTTATAGTGCAGTAGTGCTGAACTTGCCACAAGCGTGAAAGAGGGTGAATTTGTTGTGATTTCCCTTTGTAATCTCCTGTCCTGTTTCATGTTGCAGAGATTACATCTGCTTTATACTGTTTCAAATAAAAGTTCCGTATAACTATGGTGCTGTGCAATAATTTTTTCCCTCCATAATCTATATTTCAGACCGCCATTTTTCTCATTTATGTGTTTAATATCATAATTTACCTAGTCCGTGGGCAACTCACTTCTACCGTGTTGTAAAAAGCCATATTTGGCCCCGATAACGGTGGGTTGGCGGCCGTAAAGTTTTGTGACAACTCAAGTACTAAGTCATTGAGTTTATGGTAATGAGAGAGTGATCGCCAACGCAAATATTATAACTCGATAAAAGAATATTGCTTTAGATGAGTGCCTAATTCACACTAATTATGAACTCTTCCAGTCGTTGCCTGGTAAATTGTCTTCTTTTGTTTGGTCAAGTGGCAGGTCTTTATCTTTGATAAAACCTTATTCCATCCCTCTTCTTTTTTGCTAGAACTGACCAAGCCCCAAACTAATGTTTTTTTTCCCCGATAATTAACTCGTGTCTTGACACCCAAAAAAGAGATAATGTGCTTAACAATACTCGATACGTTTTTGAGAAAATTTATTGACCCAACAAGAGAATATAATGCACATCATGCACTTGCGAATGCAATCCTGGGTCAACTCTCTGCACCTAATAATCAACATGACGTCTAGTTATTGAGTAATCATCTCCGTTTAATCAGGATTTAGTAATTGGGGTCAGTTTTTATCATAATGTTGCTGGTTCTAAGCCAGACCTTCCCTTCGCGCAGCCAGCAATATTTAGGGATTATCATAATTGTTATTATTAGTAGTGCTACAATAATTATTAGTAGTTGTAGTAGCAGAAGCAGTAGGATTATTTAGGTAAAATGAGTGAAAAGAAAATGGGTAGAGATTCGAAGGCAAATTATACTTTTTTTATTGTTATGTTGATGGAACAAAATGAAGAGGAAAGATAAAATACGTGGAAGTCACCAAAATGTTTTTGCTCCTTGGAAAGAGAAAATGAATGTCATTTATGGTAGTTACTACGGGACATTAATGGTAGTTTTGAGGTTGTGCTATGTGTTGAAGTAGCAGAACAGGAAAATGAGAAAATGGATTTTATTTGTGCGTAAAACGATCAATATAGTCCTTTATGTTTATTTCAGTCTCACTCTGCTAATGAATGGGTGGCGATGGATCTAGGTGATTATAGATATCTATAGCCTTTTGCTGGGTAGATGAAGATGACGGGGGTTTGAGACCTGAGATCCTTAAATAATAATCAAATTAATTACCTTGCTTCAGTATTCTTTTCTTTTCTATACGGTACTCATAAAGATGGATCGAAAGAGATGACAGTAAAATTATTCAACAAAATTTGGCATTTGGTACTTTAAAATATGGAGTTTTTTTAACTGTGCAATTTTGTACAGGATAAATCTTAATAAATACATTACTTAATTAATCTGTATTAATTGTTTTATAATAATTTTTTAAAAAAAATCATTTTATACTTTCTTTTCATTGATTAAATGGTGCATTTATTGAGATATAAAAGCACAAAATTATACAGATTAAAAAAACTCTTAAAATATAAGTTGGTGGTTGAATGTAAAGTTGTGTCAAAAGTGACTTTAGTTAAATCAAAAGTAAAACGGAAATAATCAATAAACTTAAAAAATATTATTAATATACTTCTTTTAATTTTAATAAAGTTTTTTTTAATCCTTTTAAAAATCTAAAGACTATTTTAAGAATTTTGACGTTATTCTTCTATTGAAATTAAAATTTTAAATAGATAATCAGCACCCACTTCTAATATCAACTTTGGAGTAATTGTGGGGTAATAAATACGTAGCTGAGTTAGGTGAGTGGACGCACGAGAGTCCCAAGAGGGTGCCCTGAATTCGCCCAAGACGACAATCAAAATAAAACTGCTAGCGTTATTTCTGCAAGAAAAGGACGAAACAAACTTCATTACCATTTAAGCACCATTGACATAATCACATGATGTTCTACAGACTTGGTTTAAGTTACATTTCTGAAGACTCTGAACCCATTTCTTACATTTCCATTCATACCCAAATGCATTCAAACTCACACAGAAATGCTAGTCAGAAGCATATTTTATAAATAAATAAAAAAATAAACACTACTCAATCAGAATTCTTTTCCACAGAAGCTGCTTCATCTCCGTTCACATTGGCCTCTCCTTGTTTAAACGCCTTAGCTATGTCATCAATTGGAATCAAAGGCAAATACCCAAACACAGCATAACCCTTTCCACTCATGTGTTTCACCACATGATTGTACTTTTCTGACCAATGTGCAACTGTGGGAACTGCCATTTCTGCCACTGCATGAAATGGTGAATAGTGGTTTAGACCACCCCACAATTTCACTGAACCAACTAACACAATTTGCTTTGACTCTGTGGCAACATAATGTGCAGCTGCTCGTGGCCCTCCAGACTGAGCCTCACCCACAACTCTCTCCGATTTGTGTGTCACTTCCTCAATCAAACCCTTTGCTTGTGTTGCTACTTGCTTAACAAGTGGAGGAGCATACTCATCAAATTTGTGGGTAGCTTCATCCACCTGCCACAATGACACAAAATCAATTTAATTTACCCAAAATTTGCTGAGCAATTTCCCAATTCATTCCAACATCAACAGTGGAATTTCAAGCATACTGGATACAAGGACACAAAAAATAAGGGTTAACATACACTGATCATCAACAAGACAATTTAAGGGATTGAATTTGTCATAAGAATCAAACTGCATGTCAAGGCTCTTGGCAAAAAAAAGTGAAATAACGATGGTATTATGCATTGAGATAAGAGTGATAAAAACAAACAATTATACCGTGGATACATGCATGCACATATGATATAAAATAAATGTTCGTGTCTTTTATCAAAAGGGTCTTGTTTGCCGTGATTTTCAAGGAAAAGTTCACCAATTCAACTTTGATGGAAACTCAAAAAATAGATCTTGATCGGAAAATACAGACAAATTTTCATCTTTACAAATAGAGGACAAATTATTTAGCGCTTTACCTGATTTGGTCAAAAGGGTACATCAAACAATATTTAAAAAAAAAAAAACTGGATTTTCGTATGAAACAAGGAAGAAGGAAATGATGTGTGTGTGAGAGCAAAACCTTGTTGTCCACAAAAAGGAGAAGATCCTGAGGGACACTCTTGAATTTGTTGTAGACAGGACCCAGAACGGTGGCTACAGTGCATTCCACGGTCCCAACAGCAGATCTCAAAGGTCCCGAGTTTTGCTTTGCATAGTAGTAGAGATTCGAAACACACACAAAAGCTTTAATTGCAGCAATCTTCACAAACACAAGATGCTTCAGTTGTTCACCCTCCACCTCCTTCTGCATAAACCACCTTAAGATCTCTGCAAATTAATTACAATTAAAAAACAAAAGAAGAAAAGATTGTTGCAAACCTGACTAGTGGCCATTGTTTTCTCTGTTTGGAAACTTGCACGTCAGTCGTTGTTGCTAGTAGCAAGGTTTCACAATAGAGAGCTCATTTATAGATGAAAATGGGAATCAAACATTGAATTATATTAATATATTGCATTAACTTCAAAATATTAAAACAGAACAGACACTCTGCTATATATTATATCTTGACGTTAATTTCTATGCCAAACAATAAGGTACCGTAATACGAGGAATTTGGGTCCGCCCAATAATAACACTTAAATTTTATTACTCAAATGCATGGTGTAAATCACACTTACTAAAAGTTAAACTGAAAAACTTTAAAGAAAATCTGTTGATTCCATTGAATTTTTCTTTTTTTAATTCAATTTGAAAAACAATTTGTCCATACCCCAAAAACTAGTTAGTAGTTGGTGTGATGTATAAGTTCTTATTCTATAAATAAGTATGTCTATGATTTAAGGATTAAAAATTAATAATAACATATTTATATCAATAATTACATACATAATGAATATAGATATTTTAATTTACAAATATTTACGTGTGTATCATTTATATGTGTATGTAAAAAATTTTCTATAAAAAGTATAAATATTCAATAGGACAATAAAAGTGTGTCTTTTTAATAATTACTTCATATTGTCTTTTTTATAATAAATTAATTAATTAAATTGTTAAGATTAATAAAAAATAGTTAATAAAAATATTCACATTAAGGAATGGTTAAATTAGTGGCTCATATATTAAATAAATTAAATTATTTATTTATATAAATAATATCTAAATATTTTATTAACATAAATTTACAATAAATAATAAATTTATTTTTTACAAAATAACAATGATATTAATCAAGTTAAAAATGGAATTTAATAATGTATATTAATTAATAAAAAATATTTTAATAAATTATACAAGTACTAGTAAATATGTTCGTATGTCGTACAAATTTGTATATATATAATTTAATTTAATTTTAAAATTATTATAATTTAAATATAGAAATAATTATTTTTAGTATAACAGAAACATAAAAAATATTAAATAAAATTTGATTTTTTTTAAAATAAATTATTTATAAAAAATAAATATAATAGTTAAAATTAATTTATATGTAACTTTAAATATTATAAATCTTAATAATAATAATTTAGTTATGAATTAGTAAATATATTTGTATGTTACATAAATTTGTTTTTATTATTTATTATATTAATTTATTTTAAAATAAATAAAAATTATAATTTAAATATAAAAATATATAATAATAAAATTTTATTATATTGAATAATATTAAACATAATTTTATTGAAAAATATGATAAATATATTTTTATATATTTAAAAATTTTAAGTAAAAAAATTAATAAAAATTAATGTTTATATTAATTAAAATTACACATGTTAATATAATATAAAATTTGAGTTATATATAAAATATAGATAAATATTATGATAAGAACAAAGTATATATATATTATATTATATTATTATAATTATTAATTATAAATAAAAACAACTTTAAAATTTTTTTATAATAATATTTAAATTATTTTAAATTTTAAAATAAATTAATATATATTAATCTTATTATTAATAAAAATATTAATTATTTTAAAAAAAGAATATATAACTTTATAAAATTGTTTTTTTTTCGTATTCACATGAGGAGTATGTTAATAATCATAAATGTGAATATATTTTTAATCACAACATGCTAATAAATTATAGCTATAAATTGTAAAACTATAGTTGAAGTATGTTAACAATTATAAATTGCTGAGAAAACTATACTTGCATTTTATAATTAAAATTTAACTAATTTTTATGAAATTGTATTAAAATTTTATTTTTAATTAATATTTTTATATTAATTTATTTTTTGTTTTATTATATTGTTAAAATAAAAATGTTTAAGTTCTTATTCATCCATTGCACCGAACCCAAAAAAGATGAGATTCCACAATGAGACATATTCGCCCATAAACAGTATGGACCTGTAAGTACTCAAACCATTTTTCCAAAAAATAAATTGATTAAAATCATCAGATATTTGATGCGAATACCTTTTTAATATACTTTTATTATTAATAAAAATTTAATTAAAATTAAAAAAGTACAAGACAAAAAATATTAACTGAAAAGTAAAAAAAAGTAAAACAATTCTTGTAATTTTTAATAAATTAAAAAAAAATAAAGAGCGTATTACTAATTTTAGTCTACATGAATAAAGTTGAATAACATTTTTAAAAATTAAAAAAATAATAATAACTTTGTTGCTTCCCGTAATTCTTTTCAGTTCATATATAATATTTGTAGTCTAAACCAAATGATAAAAATTATTTTAAAAATAAATAATTTTTTTATTTTTATTTATTAACTAAGTTTTTTTTTTAATTCCTTACAAAATTAGAAATTATAAACGGTGATTTCAGGCAACAATTCAAGACCATAATTCCCACGTCATATATGTTCATTTACACCCCATCAAGAAAGAAACACTCAATGACCACACTCCATTATCAGCTAAATTTCACGAATTCATTTTTTGGACCACAAAATATATTGAGAGTGATATGATTGTTTAAGAATCAATTTGGAGGGATTTTATTTTATTTATTTTGGCATGACTATCTGATGAAGTAGAAAGAATAAGCTTATGGGGTGAGTTTTTTTTTTTTGGTCATATTTTATTTATGGGTTTTGTTAACTTCAACTTTAAAAATTAAAGATAAACAGTTAATAATAGTAATTTTTTTAAAAAAATATTTATTATATTTTTATAATTTTAATACAATAAATATATATTTTTTATCAATTTTTTTATTTGTAAATACTTAAACTTAATCCTTAAAATTGATGTTAATAAAATCCTTTATTTACTTATTTAGCTTATATACACCAAGACCCTGAATTACATAGAAGGAATGAAACTTTTTAGTATTTACTTATCCTAAAGAACAAATAACTTCATTTTATTTTGTGTTGGTGATTTTAATGTCCAGTTCTATAAAAGTAATTTCATTGCATATGCTTTTGTCAAATTACCACAACATTTTGTAACAAATAAGGTTTATTGTATTTTCTTTTTATATTTTTTAATATTAAAATGTATTAAAAAAACTCACAAAATTAAATAGGTCCGTTTTTATTTAATAACCCTCAGATAGAATTTTATGAAATTTGATAATTTCAACCAATTGTAAATATTGTATTAAAAAGGATAGTAAAAAACACTATTTAAATTTTGAAAAATATATAGTTACCTCTGTATTTAATGATAAAAAAGACTACTGCTTAGTTTAAAACTGATTTTTAATGGTATTTAATAGAAAATTATTAAATAACAGTAATATAAATATTTTTTTTAGGAAAATAAGACAATTAAGTATTTTTATTCAATAATATAGTTGTTATGAAAACTAGCTATGAAATTTGAGTGTCGTTAATATCTGTCATTATCTTGAATACACATATAAAACATTAAAATAAATACTAAGAAAAAATAGAAATATTTTATATCACAAATTCAAAAAACAATTAATAAAAATTTTAATAGTTAAGATGATATAATAAAAAAGTTACAAATAAATCTTACTATTTCTTTTTGTTTCTTATCTATCTATTTTAAAAGATAATACAAATATTAAGAAAGATAGCTAATATTTTTGTTAATAATTTTTTCATCTTGTCAATAAGGCCTTTAATTATTATAACTGTTTTCGTTTATGATATAAATATATAACATATAAGAATAAAAAAAACAATTAAAAATAAAGTAATTAGTATTATTTTAAAATTTTAGAGAACAGATGATAAGAATATTTAAAATAAATAAATAAAAATATATAAAATATAACATCAATTCTTAAAGTTGAGTTTAAACATTCACAAATCAAAAAATTTTATGAAAAAATATATATATTAAAATTATAAAAATATAATAAATATTTTTTTAATAAAGTTTTATTATTATTAATCACTTTAAGGCTGACGTTAACAAAGCTTGAAACATAATCAGAGATTCATATAATTTTAAAATGTTCTTTATTTCTAACTTCACTCAGTAATTGATAATGATATTCTTTTCAACCTTTTCATTTATGCAATTTTTGGGCTACCCAGAAAAGTATTAGTCTGCATTTTTTGGGCCTCGCATCCAGCACATGCAGTTCAAATACCGTCATATAATGAACCATTAATTTACTGTGTTTGGATGTTGACAAAAACAAGTGTTTGGATTTGACTATTTTTGTAAATTTTGACTATAAAATTTTAAAAATATTATTCCTTTTTTTAAATTTTAAAGTCATTTTTTATTAATTATCTTTAAAAAATTATTTAAGACAAGTAAAACCTTAGAACTTATGATTAAAAATTATTCAATCATTTTTAATTAATTTTTTTATTTTATCCTAATTATTTTAAATATAAATTTAATTATACACATTATTTCATATTTTCTGATATTTTTCTCTAAAAAATTTACAATTTTATATAATTAAAACAAAAAATTATTTTAAAATTACTTTTCACCTAACATATCCAGACATAAAACTTATTTTATATAATGAATTCTTACAGTAATGAATTATGGATATAATCAATTATTGAAATGATATATTTTTCAGCTAATTCAAATACAGTCTTAAAGTCGTCAGTCTTGATTAATTTAGCCATATATTGTAGTAAAGCAAAACATTTTGAAATATTTTAAAAGGTAGGCCTATTAATTGGATTGAATCAAGTTGATGAACTTGATCAATTGATTTAAAATTAGGCTCGATTTTTTTCGTACATTTGGATCCAATCCAAGCCCAATCACGTAGACCCAATCTTTATAGGTTTAGTTATTGGATTCATATTTTACAAAATTAAACCAATTCAAACCAAATTAATTCTTATATACTTTTATTCTAAGATTTCTTTTAGTAAAAGTAATCTAATTAATATTCCAAATTCAAGGATTGTTTTTAGTTTTTTTTATGATAAATAGTTTATTTCTTACAAAATATTTATTAATCTTTTCACAATTTTTAATTGTAATTTTAAAAATACATACAACTTACCAACTCCTTTTTCATTGGGTTGATTGATTAACGTTTATTGAAAAATCATTCTAAACTTATATAAAATTGAATAAATTAATTTTGATTAATTGAATCAAACTGATTGGTACATCCTTGATTAAAGCAAATATAAAAGGTAAATATAATTCTTGGCATTGAAATCTCTTGGGAATCAAACTTGGATCAGTGAAGAGAAGATAGGAAAATAAACAAAAGCTTGATATGATAATGGAAATGTAATTCGATTATGAATTGAATTAGAAGGCGATACAGAGTTAGTAGAATTTTTAGTAAAATCTAATCACACAAACTGATAAGATGACATGATAATATTGAAAGGCTTTTTAGGAAAATGCTAAGCAAAAAAACAATCCAAAAGCAGTTATAATGTGCAAAATTGCACGAGAAGTATAATGGTTCGAGCGCAAGGCCAATTTCGGATCTTTTCATGCCAAGTCCACATTAACATTATTATTTGTACGTATTCACATGAACGAAGTAAAGGAGCAGAAATTCTTCTCAGCTTCTCCGTCTCAAATTAAGAGAAGGGTTATATTGTTTATATAATATTATTACCTTTCTCATAATGGTAATTTCAATTTTTAAAATTTTGACATCACTGTACAATTCAAATTCGCACGCAGCTATATCGTTTAATGTCATGTTAATGATGTTTTGGTATTGAACTTATGGGTATAAATCATTCAAATATGGTTTATAAATCATTCAAATACAATATATCAATTTCAGTTTTAACAAATATGTGACTTTGCAACATGAAATAAATCAAACAGGTACTACCAGCGCTGGGACTTGATAATTGAAATCACTGTCCGTAGGCTGATCATGGACATTACAAAGGCTACAAAATAAAATCAATCTGAAATGCCTAAATAACATTCTCTATGAAAGGATAATGCAGAATCTTTGGCAATTTCGCACATATAAAATGATCAATTAATGGTACACGGGCACGCCTGAGAAGAATATGTTAAGTTTAAGGTGATGCTACGTTGGGACCCAATTCAATAAGACAACAGATTTGTGGAGCATTAACATGATTATTGGAAGTATGAGTATGTATTTACTTCAAAAGGAATAAAGGCCTTCGCCTTTTATGCTGTAGGAGACTACGAGAAAAGAGCATTGATTTGGATTAGAAAAGCCAAAAACTTTGGGGACATGATTTAAATATCTTTAATTACTTTACTAGTTTAGAACCTGGTTTTTATCCAACACATCATATTCTAATGATCATTTTGTCAATCGTAAAATAAATTGCACTCCACTTGAAGAATCTTAGAATTGGAAAATGCATATCATGAGATTCTCAAAATTCCACTAACTTGATCGGGGAAACACCGAATTGAGAAGTGGAATGATACTTCAAAATCTATGATCGCCCTTTCTTCCCTATTAAGTTAGCTTGGCACGTAAAAATGATCTTATTGGATTTATCTTTTTAGTACAGTGTTAATATTTAGTAGAATATTGTTTAAGTAAATACATATTTATTATTTAAATTATTGTATGAATTCTATTAAAAAAATTGGGTCTAAGTTTAATACTGAGACTCATAGAAAATTTTCTTAATAATAAAGAATATATTAAAAAATGTTAAAATCTATGCTTTTAGTATTTTTTATTTTTCAAAGAAACAATTGATACATCAAGTATTCTAACACATGTTTGGTGTGGTCAGATGAAAATATTATGTCATCTCAACGTTTTTCATTGATTACACACACATATATATGCAATTATTATCAAATTTGTGATAATAGTTATATAGAAACTAACAAATATTTAATTTCAAGATATTATAAAACATTCAATACGATAAAAATAAAATATTATTATTTGTATTTATTTAAATAAATAAATTTGTTAGGTCTAAAATCTTTGTAAATAACTTAAAAGTTAACATATTTGTCAAATAAACTTTTAAAAATTTCGGATCATTATCTCTTGATGGACCGCCTGATTTATCCCATCCTCGTTTTAAAACAAAAGTTATAGCCAAACAAAAAATAAATAAAAGGGATTGTGCAATGATTTTGAGAGTTGCGATTAAAGTGCAAATGAAAAGGGAAAAGGAAGAAAAAAAGTTAAAAGGAGGAGAAGAAGAAAGCACAGTACATTATGTTGGTAGAATTTATTTATCACAATCGATATCCAAAGTTCAAACACATGTACAGGGTTTCAGAAAAATATATAACATGGGTCACTTAAATTTGAAAAAAAAAATAGTGTTTATAGGTGAGTAGTAGACAGCAAATAAAATTATTCACATATAAAAGGTTGAAATAGAAAAAGGCATATGTTTTTTATTTCTTTCAAAGATACGGGTTTAAAGTTTAATGCTTTTAGCAGTTACGTACAAATGCATCATAAAAAAATAGACAACAAAAGATAGTGAGAACCAGTAGTAGTGGCTTTAATTTGAGAAATGATTATCATAAAGGCTTAAGCTTTGGTTAGTGACTTAGTGGTGGGACATCTCTAGCAAAAAAAAATACTAGATCTTGCCATTTTTTAAAATAAATGTTTACCCTGTATATATATGGAAAACGATTTGATGTCATCCCTTGAGTATCTAGTTATATGTTTGTCCCTGTGTATCATTTGTTTATTTCAATCTGCCACAGCAGACATATTCTACGTGTCCAAATTTTGAACACTTAGAGAATTATAAGCCACACTATATTTTAAGTTTAAGTACATAATATTTGAAATTATATTTCTATTAAAAAAATGTGCATGCAGTGGAGGTGATTAAGAATTATTTCTGATACATGAATAATTTTGTTTGTATTAAAAGTAACTTATGTATATCAGTTTTTAGAAAAGTTAAATAAAAAATTTTCTAGAATAATTAATGTCGACAAGTTAATTTTAATTTTTAGAGAAGTTTATTTTATTTTTTCTGATATTTATTGAAAAAATTATCTAAAGTGAGAATAAGTCCACGGTTTTTGATTGTATTTGCTATACAGCTTGCGTGGTTTGATGATGTTTAACCCAACGCCTAATGAAACAAGACGTGAACCTCAAAGAAAATCAATGAAGCGAAAAAGTTTCTTTAGCTGAAAGGAAAAGAAAACGCATAGAAAAGCAATTGACTGCATAACAATACAATAATTTACATTTTACATTTTTCAAGAGACATAATATCTTCTTAATCACTCTCTAGCTTCTTACATCCATTTCTAGTCAACTCGCACTAGATATTTATTTTAACAATTTGATACCCCTTAAACATAAAGTGAAATAAAACGTAGAGATAAGTTTCAAAATCATACCAAAAAGGCAAAAACTCATCTCTAAATATTTCACTTGACATTTAAGGGAATACCAAATTCATGAAGAAGGAGAGAAGACGCGCCACTCTACCAAACATTAGATACAAACTCATTGACTACACATTAATATTCTAATTGCACATTTAACATGGTTGGGCTCAAGCGCTTACGACATTTTATCTACGAACCACTAAACATTGCAACGGGGTCTTCATTTCCATAGAGAGCCTAAGGCACTCTGAAAGATCAACAGGTTGCGCCGGTAACCATATGAAGCGGTGGAGAAGTTGTGCGAGCCAGAGATGGACCGTGGTCAAGCCCAAGGCCCGGCCCGGGCATACCCTACGTCCGGCCCCGAATGGTGCTAGCCTTAAGTCTGACCCCATGATGGAAACGTCTTCTTTCAGGAACCGCTCGGGCTTGAAAGCCCATGGGTCCTCCCAAATAGACGAGTCATGAGATATGGCCCACATGTTAACCATTGCTGTTGTGCCAGCTGGCACAAAGACCTTATCTACGTGGACGTCATGGACTGCCAGGCGGGCCCATGATAGTAATGGGCCCGGCGGGTGCAGCCTGAGAACTTCTTTTACTATGGCTTGAAGGTAAGGGAGATTCGGAATATCCGAGTCTCGCACGTGACTATTTTGGCCAACGCACGTGTCAATTTCATGGCGTGCTTTCATTTGTAAGTCTTGGTGTAAAACCATCCTCGCCATGATCCATTCAAGGAGTAGAGCAACTGTGTCTGTTCCTCTAAATATCATCTCCTGCACAAAACAGCGAGAATATGAAGCACTATAATATTTTGTAAAATCCCTATCTGGATCTTCTAAAGAGTGAATGTAACCAGTGGGTTACTCATTGAACTATGTTGAGGTCATAATCTTACATCAAAGGTTTTTATTTCCCTAAAATTAGACCAATATTATAATACGGGCTTGTACTTACGAAACTAAAGTCTAATAATATTGATAGTGTTATGGCGCTAGATTATTCTATGTGAAGATGAGGATATCGATAGTGAACTGAAACTATAGGTTAATGTTTTAGAAATATCTAGAACAAATCAAGATGGTAGCTAAGGAATTTGTCTTGTATGTAGCTATGTGTTGTGTAATGAATTTATGCATGTAATTAACAAGTATTGGCATGATAAGTAAAATTATGTATTAATCTTTTTAGTTGGTACCGTGAGGGAATTAATGTATTTAAATGTAACGTAGGGAAAAGGATGGTTTTATCGTTTTACTTTATTATATGATCGATGGATGAAGAGGTCCACCGAGTGTGGGGTTATGAGCGCAAATTGACAGAAGAAAAAAAATAGATAGAGTACTTACCCACAGAATAGCCACCATATCTGAATCTTCCAACCTTTCTTCTTTGGGCAAAGATAGCAAAGTGCTAAGAAAATCATTCTGCTCAACGAACTTCCCATCTCTTTTTCGTTCTTCCACAATTTGACCCACCACACTAGTCACCCTAGCCGCCAAATTGTGGCACCTTCTCTTCACCCCATGAAAGTCCAAAAACTTTAGAGGGAAATAATCTTCCAAATTAAACTTTGCAATTAATTCATACCCTTCTTTAACCATATTACCTAACTCCACACTTTTATTATTATTACCAAACACACTCTCCAAAATATTGCTAAGAGACCCTTCTTGCAATATACCCCGAACTTCCACCACCCCTTTCTCTTCCATCTCCTTCAACACACTCTTCACCATTTCATCAACCACACGTTGTCGAAGACTCTCCAAGCCCTGAATCCTCCTCGGAGAAAACATGTAGGAAGCCGCGATCCTACGAAGATATCGCCAATAGGTTCCAGAAGGAGCGAAACCAATGGCACGCTCAAACATAAGCGTGCGTGCTGATTGTTTGATTGGACGATCAGAGAATGATGAACCGCATAGAATTTCTCTAGCAGTCTCAGGGTGACTGCTTATAACAACAGGGGTGGCTCCAAGACTCAGCGCCATTAATCTTTTTGCGTTTAACGAAGTGGCTAAAGCCGCGAGTTTGGCGTGAGCCAGAGAGCCCATATGAGGCAAAGTCCCAAGTACGGGCCAGCCCATAGGCCCAGTGAGTTTTCTGTTTAGTTTCTGGGAGTGATTGTTGTGATAGTTTCTCCATGCAAAGCCTCCAGGGAGAAGCCAATAGTTAAGGGAAATAGCGAAGAGGGTGAGGAACGTGGAAAGAAAGATAAAGGAAGAAGAGAGGGTGCTTTGGAATGTTGCTCCAAGACCAAGACAAACGAGTGTTGAGGTTATGAACCAGAGGAATGTTGCCGTGGGTTTCATGTTTGAGAGGATTATTATAGTTCAAATAAATAAAAAGAGAAGGAAAAATGGATGAAGATGGTTATGGTCAATGATGAACAAGGGATGATGGTGTTGTATATCCAGCATGTGGGGATCAATTGTATATATAGGGATTGGGAAGGGGCTTGGTTAAGGATCCTTGGGTTAAGGTAACCATGGTTAAGAACTACCACACACAGGAGCTAAGAGGTTATGACGTGTGAATATTCTAATTAAGAAGTTGCACTGCAACATGTAACTTTATGTCAGAATCAGACCCACAGCGTGCCTGCTTTTTCTCTTTTTAACACCAACACCTCTTCATTAAAAAGAGAAAAAAAAACCCGCAATATCTACATCAGTAATTGTACGTTATTTTAATGTCGATTACATTTAGAATATTAATTACCTGTGTATCTGATATGATTAACTAATTGTATGTAATGGATACTGTTAGTGATATATGTATAGACTATCGAAGTGTTGCATGGAAAATAATGTAAAGTAAGTTACAAGGTAACATGTACGGTTGAAAGCATAATATAAAACTCGGCTTGATTTCACCTGTTGAACTGTAAACTCAATCAAGTAATCAATTCAATAGATTGTTATATTCATTGTGCAATTGAACCGATTTGATCCTGTGACTTAATAATGAAATACAATATTATTAATTACTACTTACGTTATAGTTATAGTGTTATACGTTATTCTTTCCCTTTTTTCTATTGTTACCTTTTAAAAAAAATTCCATTTTACTTATCACTTTAAAAGTTTTGTTTTAATTATTACTTTTTTTTTTATAATACCTTTACCCTTTATAATTAATTGTAAAATATTAAATTAATAATTAAAATAATGATCTTAAATAGAAACGAATAAAATAATTATAATATTCTTTCGCATATACAATTTTATCAATTTCAATTTTTAGGTTAAATTTAAATATCTAAAAATAATAAATTTTATTAAAGATAGAAAAATATAATAAATATTTTTTAATAATAAAAAATTATGATTATTATATGTTTAAATTTAACGATTAAAAATAAAAAAATTGTTAAACATGTACATGATTTACCATATTTAACACATTAGTTGATTAATCTAAGATCAAGCGAAATTAATTAATAACATTAACTAAAAGTCATGTATATCAATAAACGGATTTTAGTTTGATGAAGTGTGATCGTAGAATTTTACGCAATAAATCATTATAAGAGTTTTTGCTTGTTTGGTTATCACCATAATTAATTTTTCTAATTAAATAGTATTAGGTTCAATATAAATTTTATTATTAAAATGAATTTAAACTCACATTTTAACTATATTTAATTATTTAACAGTAATTTTGTCAAACTTAATTTGATTTAACTTTAAAACAAACATACTTTTGGAGATCACCGCCATTGGAATATTATAAAAATTATAATATTTTACACGCACGGTTCTTATTAGCTATGTTGCCTTAATTTACCCTTATGCTATTATTTTTTTAATATAATCTTGTATTTGTTTTCTATACATAAGTAGTTTTTGAAAGAGTTTAATTTATTTCGTCTCATTTTCTCTTTTTTTATTATTTTCATCCTATAAAACACACGTCTCTTCACTCCTTTCTTGTAATCTCTAAACATACCAAACAACAGTATTGTTTATCAAAATATAAGATTTTATTAATTTATATATGAAACTCTATTAAATAAATAGTTAATTAAAGTAATTATTCAAACAAAGGATCGTATAGGGTGACTCAAGCTTCGCCCAGATTCTATTAAAAACATTTACGGCCTCTTAATGGGTAGTATATGACACCTAACCCCAAAATATTTGGTGAAACTTTCTTGAAGGCTTTTGTGAATGGAAGATCCATTATATCCTGGGACGTACTTGGTGTTCCATCATTTCATCCTTGACCTTTGCCACTGCTACCTATCCAATTACCTTGTTCGGGTCTGCCCATACATTTGAGTTCAATTGCCCTTTGTTCAAAATGTTTTCAAGAACAATCGCTTAATAAATCAAACATTCACTTAACATGTCAATACATGATGATTAAATAAGGTAAAATTAGTAATTTTAATTTCTATTTCTTTTAAGTTTAGTTTAGCTTTTTAATCTTTTAACTAGGTTATTTTTGTTAATTATATTTAACTTTGTTATTTACTATATTTATTTTTTTCTTAATTATTGTCGTCATTATTTTCTTCTTTTTCTTCGTTGGGGAACAAAAATCAAAATACTAATTTAGCTAGTAAGTAATAATAAACTTTTAAGGTTGATAATACTTTAATTTAAAAAACAATAAACGGTGCTGAATTACTTATCATTCGTTGCTGTTGATTTTCTCCCTTTTTTAAAAATAAAAATAAAAATAAATCTATGGAGTTAACTATGATATATTTTAATCGCCTGTTACTTTCAGGAAAAAACATGCATCCAAGAGAGGTATTTAGAAGAAAACAGCCCTGTTTTACAATTTTTGATCTACTGTGTGTTAAACAAGCATGCTCTCTGCTTTCACGAAGATCAGACATTCGCTCGTAATAGGACCCCATATAAAAAAAAATGTCCTTGGTATTGCTTGGTATAGAAGAATACAGAATATCCGTTTCTAAAGGAATTTCGTGTAGTAATTATAAATAAAATAGATGATTAAGCATGTATAATCAGATTAGGATATGGCAGTTAAGAAATGTTAAATACACAATTTTCTTAAGTACTTTTCTAAACCAATTTTTATAATTGAGTGAAAATTATTAAATTTATAGGTGAAACTTATTATGTACAGAAAATGAAATTTACTACATGTTTGAAGTCAAGTTTGAATAACTTAAACTCACTTGTTTTATTATATTATGCAGTGCATGTTTATTTTCACATTTATTAGTCATGGATCAACATTACTAGCTAATTGTAATTACCATGTTAAATCCATACCCTATTTGCTGTCTTTTCAACACAAATAAACATTCATAGTGTAGCATGTCATTTAGAGGGCAAAATCAGATGCACATAAAGTTATGAGTATTGATAAATTTTAATTAATAATAATAAAATTATATTTGTATAGTTTCTTATTTAATAAGAAGGGAGAGAACACGAGACATAAATAAATTAATATAAAGTAATAATATTTATAAAAAAAAGGTGTGTTGTTGTTTAATGGCTTAAATATTTTTTTATTTTTGTATTTTATAATTTTTTAGATTTTTAAAATATTTTATATTTTATTTTTAATATTTTATAACGATATAATTTTATTATAAAAAAATATATATTAAAGAGTTATTTTGCATAATTTTACAGAACAATTTAAAACGCTTTAACAAGTATCATTATTTAAAAAAGAATAATAAAAAATCATAAAATTATTGTAATTTAAGTAGTACTTTATTTTAACGTGAATTTATAAATTAAAAATTGTTAGAATTTTAAAAAAATTTAATTTATCAAAAAGTTATACATAATCGCTCTTAAATATCATTTTTAGAAATTAGTTATATTACTTCATTACGTAAGTGATTACTTTAAAAAATATAAAATGTCATGATATTTAATAAAAAAATTAACACAAAATTCTAAAAATAGAAACGTTAATATTTAATACAGTCATATTATTATTTACTAGGTATTATAGACTAAAAAATGTTGATTTAAAGAATCTAGAATAAAAATTGAAAAATTAAAATGTAAAATTGGAAGTGTTAATCTTAGAGGGCATAAACTAAACTCAGGTGTAGGCAACGAATGCTGGTGAATGAATTAATGATTGGAGTATAAACGTAAAGCTAATGAGCATAGGTTATGGCCTCAGCAATTGTTTGTCGTTTTAGAGGCAGAATGGGTATATACAATCTATTGACTCTGAGATTAAGATTTGGTGAGCCCCGACATGAATGTATAAAGTTTCCACTTCCCCGTGTTACCGGCAAAGATATTAGTCAGCGGTAAACCACATTGCATTCTTATTTGGGGAATACATGACTGAGAAATAGTACAAGTACCACTCCTGTTCCTGTTCCCCTTTTTTTCCTTAGATTGGCTATCTGTGACCTAGCCGCACACATAACAGATAAGGAACACCAACGTCATTTTTACTACCCTGCTTGTGGCCAAAAAAGTCACGACTGCACAAATTGGATTTTTTGTGTCTGCTTAACTTTAGAGTGTTTCAAAGAAATGGTTAACTAATTTTTTAAATTATTAGTTTAAGCCTTTAATATTCCTATTGTTCAAGATTCACTGGAGTCAATGAGGTTGTGTTTATAATTCTTTTCATTCAATCAATTCAGTCATAGTTTAATAATGAACTCAAATTTATATATAACCTAGTTCGGCTGATTGGACTGTTTCTTAAAGTCATGGAGTGGGGGATGTGGGAATTTTAAGATGGTTAAGGATCAAACTCGACCCATTTTATTAAGGTATGTTTCTAGGAACTCGGCTTTTGGGTTAGTGTGGTTGTTGACTTGGTTAGTTTGTTGGTCTTTTGTAAAAATAAAATTTTCAAGTTAATTCATTTTACATGAGAAAGTTTTGATTATAATATTAAATATTATAATTAAAGCATTTTTGTTATATGTAATTTATTAAAATATTGTTTAAAATTTTTGAAGTTTCTTGACTTGTTATAACAGGGAAAAATTGATAATCTTATCCTTTACGTGAATCGACCTTGGATCCGAATAATACACCTATGCAGCTATGTGCAACTCAACTACGTCCACATATAAAATATTGAAGAAAATGCAATAACTTTATCTTTAACAATTATAGATTCTTCTTTTTATTGTAAGCTTTTTGGGTTACTTTGGTTTCCTTTTTCTTCTCTTTAGTATATGAAAGGACAATCCCTTACAATAATATGGGTTAAGCCACATTTCTCATCGCCATGTGTTACTGCAAATCTTACGGATGATATTTCATAGCTCGCAATAATGCAGTATGGAAGCACATCCACTCATCACAGTTGGAAGGTGCAAAAACTGCACATGTGTTTCACCGTGGCATGTGCTGTTTACCTCCGAGCTGAACGCGTCACAATCATGTCTCTGCCTTTGGCCAACTATGTTTTC